TTTAATATTAAAATTTTGGTTTAGCTTATTTTTATTTCTGTTTTAATTTTAGTTCTTTTTCAGTTTTTATTTCCAGTTACTAATTCTAACATATTTCAATTAGTTGCCAAGGCAATGTTTTTAAAATTTTCTAAACTTCATTTCAATTAACAAAAATGTTTTAATAGTTTTAGTTTTAGTTAATGATAATAACCCTGGTGCAAACATGTCTTGATGCGACAAGTATGAATAAACACATGCACAGATGAGACTTTCAGTGAATAAAGATTTAAATATTAGTCATTTCCTCACAGAACATGATCATGTGACTTCAGAATAGTGCACTAGTCATATGGACTACTATTATAACATGGTGCTTTTTTGTCATGTTTGGAGTTGACAGTTGCACTTGTGCCCATTTCCACAAAAGAAGCTCATGACCCATGAGGGTTGAGTAAACGATGGCATTTTGATTATTCCTTTAAGACTATTATGAATGCAACCGCCCATAAAGCATAATGCATGCACACATCCTGATTTCCACAGTGGAGATCATCTAGATACTTCTGTTTGTCTTTCCAATTGTTCAGTCCTTTAAAATCTGCCTTCATACATCTTATAGTTTTCTTTTCCTTCCTGTTTGACTGTTGCATGTCTGCTGAGAAAACGCTTTTTCAGCAGGCATTAACCCCGCAGATTAGAAGAGACGGACTTGTTCTTTTGTGTTTCCTTAATGTTTTACTCGCTTTGGTTTGTGATGGTCTGATTAATGCTTGCATGTCATGTTTAACCCTCTGTTTGCCAGGTTGTTTTTCTTTTTACCCATCTCTCCATCTGTTCTTCAGCCCTTTTCTTTGCAGATGACCGCAGTGGTTTTTAGTCTCATGCTGAATAAATGCATCTCAGCAGCGGGATGCGTTTACAATGAGACAGTCGCATTCACCTCATCCTGTCTTCTGTCTGGCTCTCTCAGTGGCAGTGTGTGTTTCTGTTCGGTTCTTGGCAGAAGTCTTGGCAGACTTGGCATCTCTCTCATCTTGCTGTCCTTTCGTCTTGCGCTCTTTCGCTCCGCGGCAGATCCCACAGGCCTCCTGAAAGCCACTGACATTGTAATGAAATTGAAATTGCGTGTCCGGTCACACTTAGCGAAAGATTCTCCGGATCGGTCGCGTCCCGCTCTCCTCTCCGCACCACTGGATCCCTCTCTGCATCCCTCGTTTTAACTGGAATCAGTGCAGTTTTAATCGGCCACTTCCAGTTGGTCTGGAATTGGTGGAAATACCTGTTCTTGTCTTAGGACAACTTTGATGAACTTTTTTGATCCACTTCAAATGTTGATTACTGTGTGTGTGTGTGTGTGTGTGTGTGTGTGTGTATAGATAGATATGTAGAACAAATTTACTGCAATTAACAGATTCTTCATTAGTTGCAAGGTTCTTTTCAACTTAACGAAGCCGAAACAGTTCATTTAGTTGTAGAATGGACTTAATGAGAGGCTAAATGAGTTAACGAGGTGACTAACGAGCGCCTGGTCGCCCCTGGCAGCAGCGTGTCGGAGGAGTGTCTGACGGTGGAGGAGAAGGAGCAGCGCGAGCGAGAGCGGCGCATGGCCAATAACGCTCGGGAGCGGGTTCGTGTGCGCGACATTAACGAAGCCTTCAGGGAGCTCGGCCGCATGGTGCAGCCGCACCTGAAGAGCGACAAGGCTCAGACTAAACTCATCATCCTCCAGCAGGCCGTGCAGGTCATCCTGGGCCTGGAGAGACAGGTGCGAGGTAGGACCAACCCCTGTGAGCCGCCACCGTCCTGCCGAGAAACACCAGACACACCGCCGCTGCTGCTGCTGAGAGCCGCCGCCGCCTCTTTCCTCGCTTTGACTGCCGCTCGCTGTGTGTTTGTGTGATGCTGATCTGTGTGTGTCTGATGCTGACCTTTAGCATCTTTCTGCACACGTCCTGCCTCGCTTAACGTGATTTACGCAAGTAGTGACATTTGCTCACATTAACATTCTTAGCAATCCTCAGTTACGGTTTGAGCTGATTGATTATGATTGGATCAACCAAATATATTAGGATTAATCTAAAAAAAACACGTCTAAATCATATTTCACCCAAAAATTAAAAAAACAGCAACAAGGTATTACCACAGTGCATGTCCAAAAACTATGTGTGACCCTGGACCACAAAACCAGTCATAAGTGTGCCAGGGTTAGCAGTGGTATAAGATCAGGTATTGTAATACTACGGTACTATCGTTTTTGTTAATTAACAATTATGATTTGTGGCATTTCATGACACATTCATTTTTTTATTATATAAACCGTGAATGTGAATTCATACGACTTGATCCTTTACTGTTTATTATGAATAAATAGTGTTACCCTGAGGTATAAATACTTAAACATATGTACAACAAATTGTATTATATCCTTTTGTTATAATATATTATTAATATTATTATAATAGTACTTTAATATTAATATATTACATTTAAATTTAATAATATTATAAATATATAAAAATGAACAAAATATATACAAATATAATATAGTGTTACTATATAAATATATGATATTCTTGTTATATAAAAATATTCATATTAACACATTAATTTTACATCACATAATATAAAATATATATAGAGTATAGAATAAAAAGTATAAAAATATATAGAATAACTTTTTTAATAGTTATATTATAGCATATAAAAAAAATTCATTTTGACATTATATAAAATTATATTACATTTTAATTGTATAATGTATTATATAAAAATACAATGTATATAAAATGCATAGTATAACGATTATGATATAGATATATTATAGCATGTAACAGATTAGTTTTGTTTGTTAACAGTTAATGCACTCTGAATTAACATGAACTAACAGTGAATAACTGTATTCTCATTAACTAACATTAAGAAAGATTAATAAATACTGTAATAAATGTATTGTTCATTTTTTGTTCATGATAGTTAATACATTAACTAATGGAACCTTATTGAAAAGTGTTACCTTTAATATTAAATATCAATATATTATTTTTATTCGCTTCTATGTAACAGAATCAGATATAAGTTGTTGTTGTTGTTTTTTTTTGACTAATTATCCAAATAATGTATAGTCCTACAAAGCTATTATTATCAGAGCATATGAGCAGAGCATAGCATCACTGAAGGTAGCAATTATTTTAGCAGCGTTTTCCCCACAAATTATTTTTTGCAAATTCCATGTTTAAAAATCAAAAATACTGTCTAATCAATGGAATTCAGAAAACTTTAGCAATTTAATAATTTAATGTCATTCTTACAATAATACGGCCCTATGAAATGTTTTATATTTTTTTAGAAATTCTGTTGTCTTTTTTAAAATTTTTCTGGATTTATGATTTAATATAAAATTATCAAAATTGGTGGCAATCATATAAAGACATAAAACATTAACAATTTAATAATAATTTAAAATATTTTAAAATGTAATCAAATGCAACTTGCAAACAACTTGTTGTTTTACTGTTCAAATTAAAACACGGGATAAAAATTGTGTGATTTTTTTTTTCCCTCAAATTAAATGTTGTGCTGAAGCAAGGACAAAAATCTAGAATGGATTCATAGTTCATTGTTTCAGCTTCCACCACAAACGTTGCAGTGCGACTCTGTTTTTGCTCAGAATGAATGAAAACCAGCTTTTACATCTTGAACGTCTTTGCAAACGTATTTAGATTCTGAGCTTCTAATGTTGTTTCTGTGTTTTTTCTCAGATCCTGATGTAAGGAAGCTCTCCGTCGACGTGGCCTTATCTTCCCGTTCTTGTTCCAGAGTCCACACACACACACACATTCGTGATTTATATACTATAAACAGATGTGTTGAAGACACACACACACACACACACAGTAACTTCCCGAGCTGCTTGTTGGGCTCGTGATCATGGACCATCGGTGGAAACAGCGTCTGCGAGCTCGGACCGTCCTGCTGTTTGATGCTGTGATGTTAGATTTACAGTGTGCTGTTCTATAGCACACACACACACACACACACACACACACACGAGCAAGGTCAAGCTCCGCTGCGGGAACAGATTCCTTTTTTTTTTTGTAGTTCATGTATTCAAGTTTGGCTTTCTTTTGTACCGTTTTGCGTTTATGATGTAGAGAGAAATGTTCAGTTTTGATACGCAATGTTTTTGGTTCTGTTTGGGGATCGCCACTAATGCGTGAATCCCACAAAACCACTCGCATTTCACCTCTAAAAATAAAAGTAATTATTTTTTTTAAGGAAAATTAAGCCTGTTTTATGGAACGTTAAGATTTTTCTTTTTTATGACCAACACATTTACCTCAAATTCTCATTATTGTAATGCAAAAAAAAAAAAAAACATCTCTAAAGTAAAAATGTTTTACATGTAAATGATACATACATAGTGTTTATTGTGTGTCCTTTATGCTTATTTTAATTTTTTTACGGTCTTACATTACATATATAAGGATATAACAATACAAACATAAAACAATTGGACACATACATTAAGATGATGGTGAAAATTCATAATGATCCTAAAAAATAGGCTTTATTTTCTTCAGGTAAATATTATTAAATATCATACATTTATTTTATTTTGAGGGGGGTGAAATATCTGAACGTGTTTTTGTTTTTCACTCTAATATCTGCGATCATACAAAATTATTTATTTATTTTTTTTAAAGAAAATTAAGCCCGTTTTACAGAACATTTCATTCTCACATTTTTATGACCAACACATTTGCCTCAACATTTCATTATTATAATGCAAAAAAAAAAATGAATGTAAAAAAAATTTAAATGTAAGTTATTACACATTGAGAGTTTAGTTTTTGTGTCCTTTATGCTGATTTAAATTTAAATCATTGTGTTACAGTATTTTTACTGTATTGCATTTAAAAAATATGTAAGGATATAAGAATAATAATTACAAAAACACTCAAAAATAAAACACTTGGACACATTAAAGTAATGAAAAATAATGCAAAAGTCATAATGATCCTAAAAAAAATGTTTTCAGGTAAAGTATATTTTTATTTGATTTACTTTATTTTTGGGGTGAAATATCTGACCGTGCTTTTATGGGATTCGCTCTAATATCTGCCACCGTTCACCAGAGTATACCAGAGCTTGCGTTTTTCATTGTGGATTTCTGAAGTATTGGAAAACGCTGGATGATATTTTCTTTTTTTGTGTGTGTGTCTCATTTAGAAGTAACGAACCGAACCGAACCACGCGTATCTGAACTGCAGAGAAAACCACTCGGAAACGTCTCTTTATGCAGATGTGTGACTGAGTCTGAGCATTTCAGCCGTGTATTACCAACACGTTTCTGAGGCCAGCTATCAATTAGCTTTGGATTTACGCAAGCTGGACTCAAACTCAATCTAACTACTCGGATAGTACGTAGTTAACAGATTTATTAGCGTCGTGCTGCGCATTTGATCAACTCGACATGTTGATTCATGAATTTGCTGCCACTTCATGTCAATATTTCTACACAAAGTAGAGAAAAATAGATCGCGATGGGTCTTTACAAGCCGACCCGGAGTTGTTGTTTTTGCTTCTTTTATAAAGTTCTGTTAAATGTTCATGTTTACTTGTTTTTGTTATTATCTGTGTTGATTTTAAATGTTAGATAAATGGCAAAGCTAGTGCTGAAGTACGCCAGGAACAAATTGCATTTCATATTTCTGAGCTTGGATATAATTTGTCATTTAGAGATGCCAATTTTGCGTTTAACACACAGAAACGTTCCTTATTGTTTATAAGGTGAATAATCATTGTGCCCAAATTTTGCAGAAACGACAGTGGTTTCATTCTTGATGTTTTCGATCCAGATTGAAAGGAAACAGTTGAGTTTATCTCTAGAGATCATTTTCTTTTTCTTCATTAGTACTAACATCGTCTTTTACAACTAAAAGATGATTATATGAATTATTCTCGTTTATGTATTGCAAAAATGTAAACTCTTAAAGGAGAGCGAGAGAGTGGCCTTCCTCATTCTCCGGCCGCGGGGAGTGATTTTGTACTCGTGCCTGCATCGTTTTGTTCAGTTTTATCCTGGAGGCAGTCAGGTTTTTATTCAGACGTCACGTCTTGTGGCTTCAACTTGAGAATATTTTATAAATTCACATGAAGAGGGACGTGAGAATTCCAGATGTATGTTAAGTGAATTCTTGCTCCTCTTGAGCAAATAAAGTACTTTCTTTGTAAACATGGATCTGTTTGTCAATTCTGTTCGTCCAGCTTCAGCTGGAGCTTCTCGTGTCAGATCTTGACTGATTTTGATCAAGTAAGCGTCAGAATAACGTCAGTAATATCTCCAGATGAACACTTACTGGACTGAAGCAGCTCAGCTTTACTTGATTCTCCATCAATCATGTTTTAGAGTCTCAAATCTGATCCTCAGGATCTTTTGAGGAGCGTTTGTTTCCAGAAGCTTTACTTTCACTGTTCCTCAGCGGAGGAATGATCTTCACAAGCCTCCAGAACATCTCACATCTTCTGAGGAGCCTTTATTTCTTCAGCTCTCAATCACTGCATTATATGTTCGGAGCATTTCAATCTCATCTTACTATTACTGGAGATATAGGGCCACGACTGATATTTAGATCATTTTATGTCAGTATCTGCTGCACTGTTAGAAAGATCTCACTGATTTACATTACAAGCAGCAGAATTACATCACTTTTTGGTCATATAAAAATCAGCATCTGCACCAAATTGCATGTTTTTGCTCAGTTTTGGGCCTCTGAATAAAACTGAGGATCATATTCTCCCTGTATCATACTATATGAGCCATAAAACACTGATGTATGAAATATGAGAGGCTACTTTTAAAAGATTATTTTTTTTAAATTGTCCAAAAGTTGAGATTGACTGATAGATTGAACATTAGAAAAGACGCACATTATGAACAAGTTGCACAAAATACAAAAAATGCAAGAAATCAGAACGCGTAAATATGACCAAATAAAGTGCTTTACGTTCAGGATGCTGCACATGTATTATTAGAGAATACCAGTGTTGGGCGCGAGTTAATATCTAATCTGATTACTTTTCAAG